AATTCTCTGGGAATAAATATGGTGAATGTTGCTCCAATCCACATAATCTGTTAATCTCAACCAGGTGTTGATTGCATTTGCATAATTGGAGCTAGGAGGTATTAATAACCTGCCCAGAGAGGTGTACACACAAGTGCCATCATTCACAACAACAAAAAAGCCTCAAGGTTAGAGATGCACCTATACCCAGTTGTTCGGTATCGAGTACCGATATTTATCTTCCCGGCCAAACAGCATGGAGCCGGCTTCCCAGCCAAACAGGAAGCCGGGATTTTCGAAAATCATAGCTGGCTGAGGAAGCAATCTTTTCATAGAAATAGCTTGATCAAACAGCATGGCGCCATCTTCCCAACCAATCAGGAAGCTGGGCAGCGAGTCATTACCCACCACCCAGCCTCCTGATTGGCCGGGAAGATGGCTCTATGTTCCCTCGCTGCACTGCCGGTCAGAGGAAGTCACTCCTGATCCACTGTTACTGCCCCCTCTCCTCTGTGTGCTATTACCACCCCCTCTTCTCTCTAAATTTTAGTTGTGGCTGAGTGAAAGGCACCGTTTCCTTGCTAGCAGTGCAATCGTAAAACTGTGGTGGAGAGGGGCAAGCTATTAACCATGCTACTCAGCAACAGCAGCATGGTTAAAACAGCATGATTAATCACACAGGTCCTCTGTGGGATTGCATAAGGATTTAACATTTGTAGCGATAGTTCTTTAAGATAGAACACATGTTAATGTAGTGCATAGTATAAACTGGCCAATAGGCTCCTAAACAGCAAGTTTACAAGCCACAATTGAACAGAAAATTAGCACATTAGGTCAATTACAGTTATTTTAGTCATGCTTATTAAGGGATCGACAGCAACACATGGTTTCCAAGCCACAGATTTTGGACTAATGCACGTGATTTCAGAATACATTATTAAATGCCAGGTCGAATATAGTTTTTATTATTTGTCTACATTTATTGTCATTTGTCAAATACAACATATGTAGTGTAAATAAAGACAGAAGAGACAATATACACATTAAATTCAATATAATCCAATATTCACTTTACAAGAAAATAAAATGAAAGTTACAAAGACCAATAACAAGAATTGTGTCAAAATGGGCATCGTATGTATATTTACAGTACTGTGTAATTAGTCAAATATAGAGTGTATTTCATTTACATATGAAAATACAGCTTGAATATGTCTTTTTAGAAAAATAAAACAGGAATTGCATTCCCAAATAACACAAAAGGTGTACACAGTATGTAGTCTCTTTGAAGCCTGGGAAGCTTAGTGAAATCAGTACCATCACCTGAAGCAGCAGAGTGTCTGCTTGTATGTTTTATGGTACATATGTGCATGAAACACTTGTACACTGACAAGCACTCTTTTCTGTACATTTCAAAGAACCTCATGCCACATTCTGTAAACCCTGCAGCAAATGTTATATGGTGTAAAAGGAGCACCAACTTGTATATTAATCCTTCAGATGACAGTGTAGGTAGTTGTATAAAGACTACGTAACGAAAAGTTACAGCATGAGGAATGCCTGCTGCAATTTTCAGTAAGGCCTAATTTACATGGGTTTAAAAATGCTAATCTGAATATCAATATGTACAGCATGAATTTAAATAGCAAGCATCAAATACTGCTACACTTGCCAGCACTTAAAACACAGATGGAATAAATGGCCCATTCGGTATAAGCTACACAAGTAAAATGTAGTAGTGATAAATGTTGAATGAACCCAGAATTCTATAGTTGCGTGCGACTAATAGCTACTACATGCCGCTTGTGTTGCATATACCATAGGGTGCCTTCTGTGCCATTTGTATTAATAGTTTGCTACCATTAGCGATTATTCCCTAGGGATTTTAGTGGATGCAATAGACAAGTCTGGTAAATCCTGTAGACTGTTTCACTGTTTAAATGCTACTTTTTTTTTTTTTACTTCTGAAATTCCCAGGCTTGCAAAGTGTTAAACAGAAAGGCAACTACATACTCCCAAAAAGGGAAAAGATTACAAGGCCACAATCCAGTGGAAACAAAGAAAAAAAAACAAGGAAACAGTCCTGTTGCAGGATCACCACTTTGATTCCAAAGTTTGAGAATTTGCAGTGATAGGTCATCTTTAATCTAAAATAATGCCAACTTTAAGCATTATATAAAATTTCAGTCTAAAATTAGATAAACACTTATTTGCTAATAACTGTATGCATCAGATACACCAGATGAAAAAGTATAAGCAATTTTTCACGGAAACACTACATAATATACCACATATTGATCATTTGTAGGTCACTTTCCAAACTACAGAACAAGCTGTAGATTTCAGGGGTTGTGTTCAAAGACACTTTCTGTGTTCTTCCCTGAGTTCGGTTCACAATGTGAACACAACTGAGCCCATAATCCAAGTAAGAAATCTATTATTTTATGTACTTAGTCCACATACCCATTGCACACTGTTTGACACTAAATAGCAGGTAATAAAATGTATTTGTGCCAACTAGGTTCCTAGAAATCACAAAGAAAGTGCTCATGTACACAATCCCTTAGGCTACCCATAGACTTGAATGACATTTGGAGCTGACCACCAAACAATCATTCTGTAGAACAATTATGACGTTGACATACAAGATTACGGGTACGTGTATGCGTCTATGCTCCAACCATTAGCTTAGGAACAATGACAATAGTCAGGGTAAATCCATTTTGGATGATCACTACTGGCCAACCAATTTTTGAGAAAGAATTTGTCTTTAGAGGTTGCAGAACGCCCATAAGTATATGATTGTTCTTCCAATCGCCAGACAATCCTCTCAGGTCTATGGGCACCCTTGAAAAACCCAAGGCTTCCATTTTTACTTACATCAACATGGTACCTGCTTTAATCACAGAAGCCACTAGGCTGATATACATTAAATAAAATAGTTATAAAAAGATATAGTTAAGCTGGTTAAGGCTTAAAAAGCCAGCTGTTTTGTGGAGCAGATGCCAAAAACAAACACAAATAAGCATTAAAACAGAGGGGCAGGGGAATTGTGGAAAGGCAGGATCAGATACTAAGGCACTGAATAGCTAAACTCTTGGTTCTTTAATGCCAACAGGAGCCAGAGAAAAAAAAAAAAAAAAAGAAGACACTGAGCAAAGTCCAGCACAAATCTATCGCGTTACAGATACTTAAGTCAACTTTGAGTTAGACAACAGTCCTTATCTGTTTAAAAATTACAACTAAAAAAAAATACAAATATCCATGACTGGATTCTAAAGGCACCACAGCAAAAACAAAAAGGGGCCTGCCCAAACTCAACACATCCAATTCTCACAAATAAAAAGCAAAACCCCATTGTGCTTTGCTTATAAGATGCTTTGGTATCTAAAATTAAGTCAGAACAGCCATGACTGCACATCCACCACAGATTTTTAAAAGGGAATCTAACAGTTTTCTTTTTCCTCTTAAATTAATTCACTGCCATGTTTAAAAACTACCTCCATTATCAAGAAACTAAAAACAAAATGATTAAAAACATAAAACAAAATACATTTACACTGGGTACCTCAGTAACTATTCATTATTCACACATTTTTTTTCATCAGTGCAGCACAGCCATGTCTGTATGTTTGGAGGCAACCACTACCAGTATTGATAAGGCAACTGGGACACCTGCTTTGAGTCTATGATTTTGTCCCTGGAGCAGTTTAGGATAGTTGGTTATGCACCTTAGAATATCCTGGGGTAGTTGAGCTATGACCATGTGCACTACAAAGAAAGTTCACACTGCATGGGATTTCTGAAAACCAATATACTCGCAAATTATACTTTGACAGCCGTAAAGGTCACTCACTGGATGGGGCAATGGCAGCTGGTAGGGCACAACCTTGAAGACCCCTAGTAGGAAAAAGGAACTAGTTTCAGAGAAGCAAGCATGAAAAGGGGTTTTCTTGCTAGGAAAGGGAATTGTAGCATCTGCTGGTTTCTGTTCCTAGGCAGGAATTTTAATTAATATAGTTGACAGGTTTGCTATAATGCAGAGAGGTATGTTACCTCATTACTCTGTTAGAACATAATCTCTGCATAATAGAGTATTTTAAAAGATGGTAAATACACCATCCGAACACCAAAAGATCTTGACAGTGAAGTTTGCTCCATCCTACCAATTGGCATCAATATAAGGACGTAAAAATCCACACCACACAATTGTGACCTAAAGATAGACCAATAATAAAGTTACTGTGATGGTACTGAGTGCTATAAGAATATACAAGGCACTGTCTACCACACAGGGTATCTACCAAAATAAAGCCGCGATCTCAGCAATATGTCAATTTATCATGTTGTGTTGGTGCTGCGTAACAAAAGGGTAATTCAAGTTAAGAGCTAGAGAGTAGCGTTACCTTGGATACTTAGCATAGCCTAGGTGGCCATTATTACAAATAAATTAGGGTTTCCTCTTTGTCTTAAAGGTTTAGTTGAAACTGATCATCACAGCCACATTCAATTCTTGCACTGGCTCTAGGTTACATTGTCTGATGGTCCAGGCAAAGGGAATTTAGTTTTCGTAGCTATAACTCCTAGAAAAACAATTATGTCTTCAAGATTTTACATGCAGCGGTGGAACTATGCCCCCCACCAAGTCGCTTAATAACCCATCCTTGTTTATAGGTCTTGCCGCAAATCGTGACAATATAGTTTAAATTGTGTTTTGAGGCCAGTCAATGAGCTGCTTTTCTGATGAGGTCCCTTGCCACTTGTGATTGCAAGTATGTATGGAACAGTAATAGAAAATATTATATATTCAACTCACCCAACAGACTAACCATTTAAATAAATGTATTTTCCATTATAGATTCCCTTTAAACAGAAAATAGGCTTTCATTTGTAAGAAGATAAACCAGTGCCATGTCACAAGTACATGATCTTAAATTCTGATAAGATTTAAGAAGTGGATGTAAGCAGGGAAAATCCTTCAAACACATCATCACTTCTTTGTTGATGGGTGTAATTTCTTCAGTATACTCTTGGCAAGCACTCACTGCAGACTACACTAGTTGATAAAATATTATGAGCTACAATTTTTATGTACAGTAGCTTTGTCTTTCATCTTAGGGTTTGTGATATCTCCAAATCACAGCATGCATTGCAGGTACTCTTTAATGCAGTATGATTTGGCAAATGAAAACTGCCCAGTACAGTATAACGAGGTAACAAAGTCACGGTGCATATAGGTACCCAACAATGTACCTACTTGGATTGGGTAAATGGACAGCCTGAGCTACACTCCCTAAAGCCTCCAAAAGTAAATGGAATAATGTCCTATAACAACTCAGAACTGTATTTAAGAGGAAAAAAAAAATAAAAAGGATAAATCATCACATAGCACACACGTCTGGAGTGAGATTGTCAGGAATGCGGTGATTTCACATGCCAAATTTCGCTTTTCAGGACTTGAACACTGAATGTTAATGAATGGCAGAGTTCTTCCAAAACAAGTGTCATGTGTGGCAGAGGCACTAAATTCACAGAGTTCTTGTTTGAGGCAGGTCTGCCTTCAAAACATGAGGTGATTCCATTACTGGGAGCAATAAGGCGCTAGGAACTTCTCGGCATTACACCTCCTGCAGGGAGTGGTTCATATCCACACGTTCCCTCTTCACTGGGATCTCGCAAGATGCATCATCGCTGCCCAACTCGCTCATGTCATCTGTATAAAAAAAAAAAAAGAAGAAGAAGAAGGAGGGGGGACAGTCAACAGTAGTTCTAAAACAACCATCAGTAACGCTTATAGGCAGATAAAAAGAATAAAGTACAAAAAAAAGCCACTCTTCCTTATCGCTCTCAACCATTGGACAGCATAACTTATGTTGTTTAAGATTGTGGACTAAATCTCAAATAGTTCCCATAAAAAGTATTCTTCCCATTTGTTTCCATGTTTTATTGTCATAGATAAGTGAAAATGGTTGTTTTGGGGTTTTTTAATTATGGATATTGATCTAGAGAAAACGGACTCAAAAGTGAAAGGAAAACATCTCTGCAAAGTGATCTAAATTCATTACATGAAAAAACACAAACTACCTGCATAAGTAGAGACTCTTTAAAATGACAAATCTAATACACTGATGCACTGCACATGTTGGGTATCACCACGCACGCCAGAGTAAGAGCCATAAGTCTAGTCTATATTTGTGCGCATCTCTAATCTGATGACCTGTAGATGCTTTCAAAGCGTCGTCTATGGACTTTTTGGTGAACTGAATTTTGACACAGTTTCACAGACTCACACAATTTTTAACCTGGACGTGTTGGGCATCTGTTTACTCGTCGTAACCTCATCTTTCTTTTTTTTTTAGCTAAAATTAAACTTAGTGACATTAAACCCTCAGAGTTTTTAACATAAAACAATACTGTAATGTGTGCCTTACTGTAATCCATGGTTGTTTCCCTTCTCTTTTAAATCTGTATCTGTTCTCATGCTGGGCAGAACTTCTGTTTTGCAGCAGACTGACTTGTGTCAGGAATCGATACATGGTGTCTGTGTATTAGTTTCTATAGGCTTTTAACCTGAGCCAGCACTACAGGAAGAAGCCCTGAGCTACAAAGGGAAGTTCTCTCCAAGCATGAGAAGACATGAGGATTTAAAAAGGAAGAGCATCAAAGAGAAGGGAAACTACCATGGATTACAGTAAGGCACACATTACAGTATTGTTTTATGTTAAAGAATCTGAAGGTTTGTGTGCAAAAAAAAAAAAAGGCCTTGGCAATGGAAGGGCCCTTATGGAGTTAAAAGGCAAAATATAGCTCCTACCTTTATGTGTCATGCCAATGTACTGAAAACTTTTCCCTAGGTCAGTGGTTCTTGCTAGCCCTCTATCAAATTCAAGATCGCTACCTTTATTTTTAGGCTATACTGCTCTGTATACTGCTCTGTAGTAGCATTAAATTAATATGACATTGCATTAAATAACAAAATCAGTTTGACGTGAAGGGTTTTTACAAAATACCTGTTGCTCTTAAAACGCAACTTACCTTTATCTATTGCTACCGGAGACATAGTAGACAGGTCACTGAACTACAAGAGATTGTAAAAATAAAAAAATAACTTTAGTATATAAAACTATACAACACTTCCAGAGAAATGATGACCATATCAGAGTCCGAGAACTCACCTCGCCCATCACTGCAATGGGTGTCTCTCCTGTTGCCTGTGCCACTCTGTGCTCTACTAAGTAAAACATGTACTCATCATAAAGCAATCGGATTAGGTGAAAGGATCCAAAACTGGCAGCACTGCGCAGGGTGAGATCCCGGATAACCATTGAACTGTGTAAGAGAAAAAAAGTTGGGAATGTTTAAAGAATAGTATGTGCAAAGAAAATGTTTGGCTGCAGTTTCACTTTAAAATATTCTTTCTGTATGTTCTAGATCAGTGCTCCCCAACCTTTTTATCGCCGCGGACCGGTCAACGTTTGATAATTTTACCGCGGCCCGCTGAGGGGGGGGGACGTTGATTGTTTATATTGGAATCACCTGTCCCGATAAATCCATATTTCAAGTAGGACTCATGGTATTGTCTGTTAAAAGTTACATGTTTCTTTGATGTTGAAGGCCCTTCTTCTGTCTCTTCACTGGGCCTTTTCTTTTTCCCAAGGAAACTTTCTAACGTCTGTTTTGTACTCATTTTTGCTAATTTGTGTACGTGTATAACACAATATACACGTACACCAAGCACTGTTAAACATGATAAAGTACCGGTGAACAGTGAGAAGAGCGATACACACCTTCTCTTTACCAAAGCTACAACGCCACTGCCGCTTGCAGCCGCGCAGCTCCAGACGTCACCTAAAACCGCCCCGATATCACGATATTTTGCGCATGCGCGGTATTGGTGCGGCTTTAGGTGACGTCTCTCAGGTCCCGGTTAACCTCTCGTCCTGGAAAGTCGGACAAACCCGAGAGAAATACACCACAGTAAATAAAATGGAAATAATTTAATGTTCCTTGGGCGGCCCGGTACTATTTGATCCGGTACCAATGTTTCTTGGGCGGCCCGGGGGTTGGGGACCACTGTTCTAGATCCTTGGTTCTCAACTGGTGGGTCGTGACCCCGTGTTCAGTGCGTCACTGCATGCCTTCCCCTTTAGGCGAGAGGCTCCTCTGCCTCCCCCTAGCGCAGCACTGTCAGTTTTCATGCCAAGCAGCCATTCAAAATATGCTGCCCGCTGCCGAATGTCAGCTTGAGGTGGGATGGGATGGGGCTATGGCTACGAGGGAGCTCCATTAAAACATGCATTGCTTACAGCTCCCGCATGTGTCCTGGAGCGTTGTGATGTCACATTCTGCCTCTCGGCACCTCTATCGGGCACACAAGAGAGCTGTATAAGCAATGCACATATGTTAATTATCTTTTTTCATATGCTAGTCGTTTGGCCATATATGGCTTCAATACTTTAAGCCACTGACCTGGAACAAACATGCAACCAAAGTCAGAGGAAAGTCTAACCTGCATATTTGTGGGAAAGCACCTGAGGTTTTGCGTCAGCAACTAAGAATGCATATTAGATAATGGATCAGCCACACATCAATTAGCAAAGGGATTAGAAATGGCAGCCTCCACATTTCCTCATAAGCAAGGCAATCAAGGGCTTTAACCTAAAGGTGCCCATACACTTCACGATTCTCGTACGAGAATCGCGGGAAATCCCACGATCGCACGAGAATCGTGCAGTGTGAATGAAGACGTGCAACTGTTTCTACAGTACGGTCGCACGTCTTTTGTCTAAGGAGCATGCTAGAAAACCAGCCAAAAAACTGAGTTAGGTACCTGGTAACTCGATGTTTTAGGTGGGAGGAGACTATCTCTCAGATGCTGTCCTGGAAGATTACTTGGGAAAATCTTATGATTTTCGGCTGGTTTGAATGATGCTCGGGAGACAAATGCCGAACTGGCCGGTGTGCGCACACACACACTGCCCGTTCAGCATTGCAGTCATCGGAAGCCCGCCACTAAACTCCCAGATGGGCAGATCGTACGTTTTTTAAATTACTTTACAACCATCGCAAGACCTTAGTCTTGCGATGGTTGTAAAAAGTGTATGGGCACCTTAAGACTGAGGTAAGTAAATTATGGGGGATCAAATGTAAAACAAAAACTGCGTTGGCTAGCTTTAAACTATTTAACCAGAACCGTTGTGTTCTCACCAGAAACACCAGAAACACTACAAATAAAGGCCAATAGCAGGAATAGTTGAAGGGGCTGGTACTCCCTTTAAGGTGTAAGGGCCATTAAAAAAAAGGGAAATTAATAAAGCTTTTCCAGTCTGAGCCTCAAGTAAAGAGGGGTATCGCATTTAAAGATCAATTCTACAAGTTAAATATAAGCAAACATTGCAGAGAAAAAAAAACAAACAAACCCATGGGCATAATTGTAAAGCAGTGAATGTGTCTCTCATTAAACATGCACTGGTGGGGAATCAATTAATTTAAGACAAGCACCCGGTAGATGCGCCTACTGCTTATTAAATATGCACCCAATTGTCAATTTATGTTGCTTTTTAAATGCCTCACTTAAAATGCCCTTACAGGCAACTCCTAAAAGCTAATGCATACAAGTTTATGGTTACGTCTCATGCTATATACTCTATCAACCAAAAAAAAGAAGGTAATGTTTAAGGCTATATTCACATGATCATTAACTGCCTCCGGGCCGGCCGTAGTAGAAAAACGGCCAGCCCG